TCCGCGGAGGCGGTGCCTAATTGAGGTATTCGTTCCTCTATCCGTCTTCGGACTCATCTAAGAAGATCTCGGGGTAGCTATAATGGAAAGAAAGTGGACTTATCTGAAGAGCTTTATATGGCACAAGAAAGCGAATTTTATCTAGATTGTCAGAAAAGTTCGGACTTATCTGTAGGCGGACATATTTGATGGGAGGACTTATTTGCATGATTCTTGGCGGCGCAAGCGAGCATTTTCATCGCTTTGCCTTGTCAAAAAGCGGACTTATCTGTAGCATTTTAGGGTACCTCATGGTAACTGAAGTCTAAATATACAGTTTTTCATTCACTATGAATGGTGATTACTTGACTGACGCCATTAGAAACTCTTATAGAGTTATAACAAGTCACTGATTTCACCGGAGAAAGTAATACTTGGGATATTTTGAAGCGTGTTTGTTATTTGTTTTCGCAATGAAAGTATTGAGTTGCACTCTCAGTACTGAAAATTGTGGCGGATTAGTTTAGAAAGCTGCACTAGCAAATATCTATCCTAAAATCCATAATAATCGTTGAGTTTTGTACAAACCGCTGATTATTAGGTTTTGCGACGAATTGTCACTCGAATGGTGCGTGAAGAACGCGCTGAATTTCCCTGGAACAGAGCTGTGGAAGCAAGACCTTATTTGGAAAGGGTATGTGTCTGTCATATTCTTCTGAGGACGTGATTATTCATCGTTGTGCCAATAAAGCATTTCCTGTTTACATTCCAGTTGATTCAACTTGGTGTTGAGCGAGGAGAAAATGATGAATACACAACGAAAATGATGGAATGGTGGTTGCCGGAAGCTGACCTCATCACCAAGATGCACAAAGTGAGGCCTCGTTCTTTGTCTATGTTTTTGCTTATGTTTGCTCCTTAGCTTTATTCTTAATTTCCTTTCATAAGCACAGCACAAGACACACTTGATCCATCCACTTGATAAAGATCCACTTGATAAACTTCATACACTTCGCTATTGACCAGATCGGTGAACTAACCAATACTGAAGCGAATCAAGCAGATCAAATGAACATCCGCTTTGCTATTGGTCAGTCCACTGATTCGACCAATAGCGAAG